AGTTGTATTTATTGTGTTGTACTATTTTTAACATCTTGTGACTTCATGCTAGAAGTTTTCTATTGTTTATAGAAACTTTTTGTAGAAACATAACTCTAAAGCACATCTGCATGTCAGTAAAAATCTCGATTTCATATGGAAAGAGCCCCATCTGTCTTTTTCAAACTAGTGACATATTTCAGGGTCACTGTTCCTCGAGTGGACTGATGGACCTGCTCTGTCAAGCTTTCTGAACCAGTATGCCAGCTAGAAAAAGACTTCTATCCTTGACACATGTAGGCCACGCAGCCCATACTATTCTCAGCATTGTCTTTGTGGCCTCTGGATCTGACCCTGGGACAGTCCAAAGGGAATTGCTGCTCTTCCTCGTATTTCTTGATAACAGTGTAACCTGACTGCTAGGAACACCCTTTTTTTCTATAAGCAACTTCTTCCAGTATCCAAGAGATAGCTTAACTGGCACAAAGTATTTTTGTAAGGTCTGATTGTGACCACCTCAATTTGGCATTTCTTATAAGGTTTCAGAGGGACTTGGCCCAAACCTGCAGTGACTTCTGAGCCCAATGTTCCTAACTGCTAATGCCAAACATGCTTTGAGAAAAGGCCCAGTATTTGTGGATCAAAGCTGAAGAAGTTTCAAACAAAACAGTTTGTGTTTGGACATGAATTTATTTACATGAAGGCCTTATAAAGGCAGAGTCACATTTTGTGGCACATTTAACAAAATGTATTGACTGAAATAAAGCTGCAATTGTCCCAGAAACTCAGGACATCCAGTCATACTGGGCTCTCCATAGCAGTCCTGTTGGCAGGTCAGAACCCAAAATCTTCAGCTTCAGGAGCAGCCAAGCCCAGCCAAGCCAGTTAAGTCTAGTGCAAGCCTCAGTCCATCTGAACTGCATCTAGTTCATCCAAGAACCTCCGGCACTTCCCCATCAGTACCTTGATGGCTTCGCTCACTAGCACATCTGGTGGCAGTACTCCCGTTGACTCGACAGAGACTGGGAAGCAAAGAGACATTTCAGCCCAGACAGGGCTTGCAAAAGCCCCCGTACAAGTTACTGCTAGATTTCACATCTGGACTTTGCAAGAAAGCTGTAGCACCAAAGATCTAACCCTCGCCAACTGCACACTTACAGATATAATGGTCCCGAACACGAGCAAGCCGTACAACCTTCTTTAGCTTCTCATTCCGGAAGACTTCCCGGCTGAAGGTATCTAGCCGGGGATTGGCAACTCTGGCCACCTTTTTACCTAATGAAAACAAACCATGTTATAAACATGTAAGCTCAGAGTTTTCATCTCTCTCTGCTATCTTCAAAGAAAATATGCTTTAGGTCCTGACCTGAACAGCATCCCAAATGCCATACCTTGGATTTCATGCACCTCGATAACACCGGGTGAGAAGCACCGGCTCAGCTCCTCAGCTGCCTCCCCTTCCACTGGCTCCAATAAGGTGATGTCTGGCAGAAGCCTGTAACTGGCTGTTGCCACAGGTGAAAACTTGGCATGATCTTTGCCTAGAGGGAAATCAGAAACTCTGGGGAAGCCCTTCTTGACATTCCCAAAGGCCCACTGATTCTCTCTGCCTGTAGTGACATCTTAGCTGGGTCCCTTAATCACACTTTACCCCACTGTATTCGAACCACCTTACTCCCCAGGGCAGCCCAGAGGATTCTCACCAATGCCCTTGACACAGTGCATGAGTAGGTCAATCTCCTGGCCAGGCCGCAGCTGAGCAATGAGGATATCATCGTGCACTGGTCGGATGGTGCCCTCCGGGAAGAGGTCAGCTTGGTTCCCCAGGGGAACCCATGTCATGTGCCTGGTGTACACTGGAGGAAGAAGCAGAGCAGAAGACCTGGGCCCCTAAAACTAGCTCCCACAAACAGGTGGGCCCTCTTTCTCACCCTACCGGTACTTACCTTTGTGGTTCACATAGAGTTCATTGGGGTCAGAGGAATCTTTAGCGGCATGGGGATTCCTAGTGCACCTGACTTGCAGACGAAACTGCAGTGTGTCAATTTCTGTGCCTTCTTCATCCCCTGCACAAAGACATGCATTTTTAGAGGACTAGTATACATTTGAATGCCAGGCACCATACTGAGTGCATTCATTACACTTCTCATTTAACCCTCTTAACCAACTAAAGACAGACCAGAGCAAGTGTTCTCACATACAAGGACACTGATGCACCAAAAGAATAGTAACTTGCCAAGGTCGTACAGTGTAATCAATTCAGGATCTGAAAACAGCCATTCTGATTCCAGAATAACTACAGAAGAGAGCTGCTCCCGTTTTCCCAAAATTTCATTTACTCAAATCCTCACCTTGGTTCCGATATTCAAAAAGACGGGGATCAGCATGAATGGGAATGAGTCCCAAGCGATGAGCAAGGATCTCGTCCTGGACAATGGATGTGTTGTTGTACACCAAGACCTTTTCCACAGCCATGGTTGGCACCTGCCCAATGAAACAATCACTCATCTACCAAGACCCTATAGATTTCCCATCTACTCCCTATCTGTGTCCGCTTCCTAGAAGAATGCTTGATTAAAAGTTTACAAATGAGCAGGAGAAATGCTCATCAAAATTCCAGAAAAAAAATAAACCTTGAGACAGTTCTACAAGTGGGGTAATGGCAAGGTTTCCTCACACAACTCCACCCTGCCACCGTGCCCACCAATACCTCAGCTAATAGAATACGTCGAAAAGCGTTGGCAATGGCTGCGTCAATTCCCACCATGTCAAACTCCAGTGTGTTTTCATCCATGTGGATCACATCCACGTGGAAATTCTAAAAAAATTGGAAAAACACTACATGATGCTTCCTCTCTGTATAGTATAGTCAATACCTGCCCCCCTCCCCGGATACTTCCCTTAAGGTATTAACATTCCCTCTCATCCAAAAGCCTTCCTTTGCCTAGATGTCCCTCATTAGATGTTCATTTCTTCCTCCAATCCTTTATTAGTTTGTTTTGTTTTTGCAGTCCCCTCCCCCTTATTTGGTCAAATTAAATCTCTTTTAATAGGACTTTCTTTGCATATTCTTTTTTTATTAAATTTACTGTGTGACAATGGTAAGGTTATGTAAGTTTCAAGTGTACATTTCTGTGATATATGATGAGTACACTGCACTGTGTGCCCACCAACCAGAGTCATATCGTCTTCCATCATCATATGTTTGACCCCTTTTACACTTTATTATCCCCTCGCCACCCCCTTTCCTCTGGTAATCACCATACTGTTGTCTGAGTTTTTTCTTGTTTCTTCATCTGTTGTTTTCAGTTTTCTATCCCACATGAATGAAATCATACGCTTAACTTTTTCTGTCTTACTTTGTTTAGCATGATATTCTCAAGATCCATCCACATTATCGCAAATGGCAGAATTTCATCTTTTCTTATGGCTACATAGTATTCTTGTATATCTGTACCACATCTCCTCTATCCAATCATCTATCAACGGACACTTCAGTTGTTTCCATGTCTTTCTGCACTATGGCTTCTAGCCAGAATATCCAGAGAAAATTCTACTAGAGAACATGCTTCCATACTGCTTAGTCCAGCTGACACTACTCGATCCTTATTTTGCTGACTATTCTGTTGTATAGTATTTGGCATTGCTGATAGGATCCCTCATTTTCAAAATGTAGTGCCTTGGTTTCTGAGCACCAATCTTTTGGGTTTTTTCCTTGTCTGATGAATCTTTCTAAACTCACCTTACTATCTCCCAAGTTTTCCCTCCAGAACCTTAAGTAACTTTAACTTTACTTTTCCCTCCAGAGTGACCTCAATCACACTCATGGTTTTAGCAACTACCTGCACCAACTACTCCCAAAATTATTTATTATTTCTGATCTCAATTCAAACATACATTCCACTAGCCTGACAGACTTCTCCACCTGTAGGAAACTGAATGCATCATTTTCCAAACCCATTTCTCATCAATAAATGATGCACAAGTCCCCAAGCTAGATCGTTTTACACTACCCCCTCATAACCCATATCAAAGCAATCACCAAACTTACCTTGTATCTCCCCTCTGCTCTATCGCCTACAGTCCTTAAAACATACTTCAATCTCGCCTGCCATTCTTGCCCACCCACTTTAGATTTTAGCAACAACGAACTGTTTGGACATCCCCACAGCACAGATCACACAGGCCTTTGTGATTTGGCTTCTGTTGTTAGTTCCTCCTCACCCTTCGCTGTTCTCAACTTCTCATCGTTCTAGGATCAATTCGGATGTTCTCTCGGGAACACTTCCGTACGTATGCCCTCCTTCTCATTCTAGATTAAGTGCCTCTGCGGGAAGGGATAACCCCCACCGCAGCCCATCCCTCGTCATCCTTACGGCCACCAACCGCCTTTACCATATTATACGGTAACCTTTTGTTTGCGCGTGCTCTTTTCCAACAAGACTGAACAGCGCAGAACAAGCTGGAAACCGTGTATACACACAGCTCCTAACAGTGCTCAATAAACGTTGTGTAAACGGAGAGAACCCCAAAGACAGCTTCTGAGGCACAGGCTGCTCTGACCACATGGTCCGAGACTCACAGCCCTCTCTGGACACCTCCAGCTCCACCCACCTTCTCGAAACGGTCCTGGTCCCAAGCATCATCATAGCCCGAATAGTTGCCGGGAAAGTCGGTGGTGTGAACCTAAAGCAAAGAGAGACGAGGTTGTCTTCGAAGAGGCAGGGAGGACAAGCCCATCCCTAGTTCGACCCCAACTCATCCCCTTTCCATTCTCATTTCTCTTCCCGACCTCAAGGCCACACAGCTTACATTGCGAACCCCGAACTCCCCTAGAATCACGCGGCTCCGCATTTCTTCCACCGCCTGAGCAGCCGCCATCTTCGACCCTCCACGTGACTAAGGTAGCAACTGGCGCTTGCGTTTTAGTCGACCTCCTCCGTGTCCGTGGCAACACAACACCGCCGGGAAGGTTAAATATCGCGAGACTTTGACCTGTCTACGTGCATGGCCCCAGCTTCCGGAAGTTAGTATGGGCCAAACATCCGGGTTTCTGTTTTTTTGCATTCCGGCTGATCCCACCTTTCTCTCGTCCCTATATCTCTTCTTCTACCAGGCCCACATTTCTCCCACTCCTCCTCCGCGTGCGGGAGTAGCGCGGCCTTCAGCGACGGGAGCCCCTGAGGGACATGGCAACTACGGCCGCGCCGGCCGGCGGCTCCCGAAATGGGGCTGCCCCGGAATGGGGAGGGTTCGAAGAAAACATCCAGGTAATGGCCTCAAGGTTCCGATTGCCCCAGCCCCAGGGCTGGCAGTCGTCCTGAAGTGTCGTGGGGACTCTTCTCCGGGGCCTGGAAGTTTGCTCCATTTGCAGCACTTTTCCTCTTCTTTGGCTCTTCGTGCACACGAAAGTCAGTAGAACCAGTGCTGACCTGAAGGGGCCGGACTTGCACTCCAGCCAAAGGGCCTCGGGTGTGTGGGCCCACCCGCTCTTTATTTCGGGACAATTTAGAAGGTCGATAGGGGTCAGGCATGGCGGGGGCTGAGGGAGTATTGCACTGGCTAAAACCATACTGTGTGCACAGTCTTGTTTGGGGGTTGGGAAAGACAAAGGAAGTAGACAATTTCATAGTCCTTTAGAGCTTTGATAGAGAAGGTAGGAGAAAGACGTGTGTGGGAGACAGGGAGTAGGTTTCTTAAGCTAGAAAAGGGAGACAACCAAAGTCCTGAGAGCGAATGAGGGGAAGGAATGGCATGATCTCTGGTGATTCCAAGCCATATCCCCAGCAGTGGAAGAATAGAGCCTCAAGCCCAGGGACAAACAGAGAAGGACTTAATGGATGGAGCAGAAAGGTCCTGAACACTAGGAGCTTATTGTCTTCACAGGGTGGGGGCTCAGCTGTGATTGACATGGAGAACATGGACGATACTTCAGGCTCTAGCTTCGAGGATATGGGTGAGCTGCACCAGCGCCTGCGTGAGGAAGAAGTAGATGCTGACGCAGCTGCTGCTGAAGATGAGGATGGGGAGTTCCTGGGCATGAAGGGCTTTAAGGGACAGCTGAGCCGGCAGGTGGCTGATCAGGTAAGCAAAACTGGATCCCTGGCAGGTATAAAAGTATAGCTAGGAGGCCACAGGTTCTGAAGCTGATGTTGGTGAAGGTCACCCATTTGTCCAGTTAGAACCATGTAGAAATCCAACAGAAAATAAGCAACAGAGCCTAGAGCTAACAGTGTCACAATACCCACCCACCCATCCTTGTCTTCCTTACTTCAGATGTGGCAGGCAGGGAAGAGACAAGCCTCTAGGGCCTTCAGCTTGTATGCCAACATCGACATCCTGAGACCCTACTTTGATGTGGAGCCTGCCCAGGTGCGAAGCAGGTGAGGATCCTTCTCCTGACAGAAGCTACCCTCCTCACACCTAGTCCTTCATCCAAACTGCAGCCCGAGACCATGCCCTTGGACTCCCCTCTCCTTGACCTCACCAGCCCTCAGCATTATGTCCGTACTCCAGCTACACCGTTCCTCTTACAGTCCCAGCACAGGAGTTGGTGATAACACATCGCCTTCCTCTTCTTTTCCATCCAGTAAACTACTCATCCTTCCTCGAAACCTAGCTCAAATGTCATTTCCTTTGTTCTGCATTCCTCAACCCCTTCCCCAGTTTGTCCTTTCTTGGTGCTCCCACAGAGCCCTTTGCTTTGCTCTTATGGATAGCACTTCAGCAATGCTGTACTTCTTTTCTTGGTTCTGTCTCCTCAGAGACCTCCTCAAAAGGAGACTCTATGTTTTATCTTTTTATTCCCAGCACAAGAACAGTCTCTGAACCACAGTATCAGTACATAATTGTTGAATGACTTCAAGAACTGGAATTAATCTTGGTTTGGTTCTTTGTTCATCCTTTAACGTAACCAATGCTTACCAAATACCCAGTATACTCCACAAGTACTTATTAAGCTTTTGGTCTGCACCAGGCACTCTGCTGGTTGCGTCTGAGTTAGTGGTGGAGGCAGATGGGAGCCTTGCCCTCCAGTAGTTATAGTACAGCATTCATTTGCTATAAAGGGACACACAGTGGGGACACCTGACCCAGAGTAGGCTGGAGAGTGGGATAGGGTGAATTTCCTAGAGTGAGTAAAATCTAGCCAAATTGCAAGGTATTATTAGGAGCTAGCCACTTAAGAAGAGAATGGGGACTTGGACTTTTCTTTTCTTCTGCCTGGAATTTTCATACCACTTCAAGTATATTTCAAGGAAATGCTCAGCAGTGCCTGGAGGAAAGGTAAGCGGGAAGAGGCAGGAGGCACACTGGTTCCCTCAAATCCTACCTTTCCTTTGAAACCTTTCCCCAGGCTCCACCATCACAGTTCAGCATTCTGGGCATTCCCTGCTGAGGTCGGCCTTTTATAGGGGATCAGGTCAAATAGGTAAATTGTCAAGCCCTTTCCAAAGACCCAGCTAGGCTCCCTGAATTCTCCATATTGCCGCTGCATCAGTCAGCACAGCATCAGAGGGTTGTCCTTCCTGGAAATACGTTTAGGGGAAAGGAAGTGATTTCCTCATTCCCTGCCTGTCTTTACTACCTTCTTCTCCCTTTACCATCTAGCATGTTCTCTGGAGTTAGAGAGATGAATAAGATTCAGGCCCTCCAGAACCTCATAAGTGCTGCCTCTGCTCTCATCTCTCCTCTCCTCTCCCAGGCTCCTGGAGTCCATGATCCCTATCAAGATGGTCAACTTCCCCCAGGTGAATAGAGGGTAGCATGACTGGAAGAGCAGGGGGAAAGCCTTAGGGCAGAGGGTGGGGTCACCAGGCAAAGCCTGGGAAGGAATAAACAGAAGAGCCAGGGTACTCTCCAGCCTGAGTGAGTTGGTATATTGACAGAAAATCGCAGGTGAGCTCTACGGACCTCTCATGCTGGTCTTCACGTTGGTTGCCATCCTCCTCCATGGGATGAAGACATCTGACACCATTATCGTAAGCCGGACAGAGGACTTTGGGGGGTGGCTGGATTAAGTAGAAAGCTGCCCAAGGAGGAGGTGGTGGAGTGACTTAGAAGCAGCCCTGAGGACACCCCTGGGTGAGGCTGAGATCAGAGGCCTCCCAGGACTAAGTACAGCCTTCACCCCACAGCGGGAGGGCACCCTGATGGGCACAGCCATTGGCACCTGCTTTGGATACTGGCTGGGCGTCTCATCCTTCATTTATTTCCTCGCCTACCTGTGCAACGCCCAGATCACCATGCTCCAGATGCTGGCACTGCTGGTAAGGAGTCCAGCATGGTGGTGGGCAAGGGTGACCTTACAATAGTAGCCACGCCTTGGTCTGCATCTGTCCTGGGGGCTCCAGGGCCTGGAATGGGGTAAGCTGGACAGTGGACCATTTGTCTCGGGGTCTCTGTGAGGTTCTAGAGGCCAGCCCAACCTGAGAGATTTTCCTCTCCACCATCCTCCTTCCTAGGGCTATGGCCTCTTCGGGCACTGCATCGTCCTCTTCATCACCTATAACATCCACCTCCATGCCCTCTTCTACCTCTTCTGGCTGCTGGTGGGGGGCCTGTCCACCCTGCGCATGGTAAGCTGGGCAGATTTCCAGGAGCTGGCCATCCTCCTGGGGAGTTGGGGGAAGCAGCCCAGAGCTCAGCCCAGGCCTCACAAAGGGCTCCGAGGAAGTGGGAGGCGGGCAGGGGAGAGCCCAAAGATGGCCCTGCTCTGGGGAGGAGTATCTCCTTCACACTGCTCAGTTTGGAGCCGTGCCCTCTGAGCTGTATTCCTGTGGCCCTAGGTGGCTGTGTTGGTGTCACGGACCGTGGGCCCCACACAGCGGCTGCTCCTCTGTGGCACCCTGGCTGCCCTGCATATGCTCTTCCTGCTCTATCTGCATTTTGCCTACCACAAGGTGGTGGAGGGTAAGTAACAGGAGGTCTGGGTACGGGGACAGGGGAGAACAGCTGCCTAGGGCAAGGTCCACCCAACTCTGGCTCACTTTCCATCCTCCTTTCAGGGATCCTGGACACACTGGAGGGCCCCAACATCCCACCCATGCAGAGGGTCCCCAGAGACATCCCCGCTGCGCTCCCTGCTGCTAGGCTTCCAGCCACCTTGCTCAACGCCACAGTCAAGGCTGCCGTGGTGACCCTGCAGTCACACTGAGCGCACCTGAAATCCTTGGCCAGCCCCCTTTAACCCAGCTGCAGAGTGAAGGAAGACTAAAGGACAGAACCGATGACATATGTCTCTTTGTTGGTCTGCAGCTGCCACAGAACTGTAGCCACTTAAGCACCTCCTTTGACACCTGTCGGGGCTTCTGAAGGGCACCAGGCCAGGAACCCCTGGCAAGGACTGCAGGGCTCTGCAGCCAGTGCACAAAGTGGGTCGGTGCCTCTGGGGCCCTCTTACCACCTACCCTTACCATCCTCTTTATTTCTCCCACATTGTCTTGCTAAATATAGACTTGGCAATTAAAATACTGAAGTCTGGAACTGTAGCTACCCTTCCAGGGGTCCTCCCTGGCACCCTACTTCCTGTACACTTTCCTGTTCTGTCAGTGGTGGTAATGCCCTGTGTTCCCTTATACCCTCAGGATGTAAGGTGAGAGAGGCAAGATAAAGGTAGGGCAGCCCAGACTACTCTGAAGGCAGTGATTGAATGTGGAATCTGTCCCTCACTGCAGGGGACACCTCACCCACAGAGCAGCAAGGGGGCCTTGAACACAGCTTTTAAGTGTGGTGAAGCAGGGCACCCAGCTTGAGTGTGGGCTCAGCTGCACTTTTCAGACACCAGTGAGGCAATGGCAATTGGACAAAAACTTCCAGACTCAACCCCATGTCATTACAAGACCTTTATAGACATGGGCCATCGTGTAGGGATAATTTTCCTGTGGGAGCTCATATTTGGAGCCAAACGGCTTTGCCTGGGTTATACTGGGGCCAGAGGAACAGAGCTCTCCAGTTCTGTCCTTCCTCTTGGAGGCTGGTTACTCTTTTCTATTATTTATTTATTTATTTATTTTTAGAAAGGGGTAGAGAAAATCAATGTGTGGTTGCCTCACCCACTGCCCACTGGGGACCTGGCCGACAACCCAGGCATGTGCCCTGACAGGGAATTGAACCGGGGACCCTTTGGTTTGCTGCGAGGCACTCAGTCCACTGAGCCACACCAGCCGAGGCAAGAGTGCTGGCTACTGTTAAAAAACCTCCTCCACCACTCATTCAATCTGCTCTCTGTTCGTTCACAGGGAATGTAATTTTTGACCTCTCTTCACTACATTTCTATTACTTATTAAAAAGAAAAGTCATCCTAGTAAATCTAGGTCAGTATCTTTCCTTCCTAATAAAGGAACTAAGAAAGACGTGCCCTTCATCCGCCTGTTTTGTGAGGTCCCCCACACTATCACCCTTGGACAAAGTTCCAACGTTACTGCCTCCGTCGTGTGTGTCCCTGAAAGCGCCAGCGCTCGTTCCTTGGCCTCACCACCGCTCCAGGTCGCTGGCCCTGATACCCCGTTTATTTTGGCTACCCCAGTCTCACTGGTACTGAGCCTCACGGCATCAGCAGTGCCCCACGCACCTGGAAAGGGGCAGTACCAGCATCTTGCATCTACCTGCGGTTCACCTGCCCCGGAAAAAGCCTTTGGGCTTCCCTTGTGTCTAGTAGCTCAGGCCGTCTCTACCTGATCAGACCCTTGGGGCCGCAGCTGGGAAGCCGCCATCTTGGCGAGGGACACGCGGGAAGTGCTCGTGGGCTCGACCTCGCGCGTGCAGTGCCTCCCCTCGCGGGGGCGGGGCAAAGCCAGGATTAAAAGGCCCTGGATACTTCCAAACAGGACAGGAGGGCGCGCCTGGGACCCAGGCGGAGGCCCAGAGGGTCTGGTCCTTAGGAACGGGGAACGACTGGGGAACGGGCAGCAGAGCCCGGTTATCTCCATGTCACGTGCCTCCATTCCCTCCCCACCCCTGGCAGTCGCTGGCCTCAACCTTGATACCTTTCTACCTGTTGCGTGGCCCCACATTTAGGGAAAGAGTATGCCCACCTCTCCTCAACCACCCGGCGCGCAGAAGCCTGGTGGGCCCTCTCGGCTTGGGACGGGCAAGGGGCGGGGCGAGCGGCAGTGACGCGGCCGTTGCCATGGGAACTCGCCGCCCGCTCCGGCTCCGGAGCCGAAGATCCAGAGGCCGCCCGCAGCCCGCCAGCCGGCTGTCCCTCTCGCCCGCTTCGGGCTCTCCCTGCGGGCGCTGCAGGAGAAGCCAGGCTAGAGGAAGGCAGGGAGCAGATGCGGCCTCCGAGCTGGGACGGGTCCCGTGCGTCCTAAGCCGAGGCCCCTTAGCCTCCGCCGCCTCCGCCGCCGCAATTGCGAGGGACGAGTACAAGCGCGGAGCAGCTCCCGGTCGATCGCGGATCGCTTGCCCCGGCTCCCCGCCCTGACACAGACGGCACGGTCCGCCCCGGCACCAGCGCTGCGCTGTCTCAGCCCCCTCGGCGACCTCCGCGCCTGCCCCATCCCGGCCGGCTTCGGTCTGGGCCCCGGCGCTCTTCGTGGCCGCCGCCGCCGCCACCTCCGCCGCCGCCTGCGCCTCTGCCGCCGCCTCTGCCCCCGCTCCGGCCGCGACCCCAACCCGGGCCCCGACCTGAGCCCCAACCCCGCCCGCCGCCCTGCCAACCTCGCCCGCGGCCCGGGCCTCGGCCCCGGAGGCCCAGCCGTAGGTACGATGCTGCCCAGCTCCATTCAGATTTCAGGGGAGCCGCTGTCAGGCGCCGAGGTGCGGGACATCTGCCGCGGCCTGCGCGACAACGCCGTGCGTCTGCTCTCCCTACGCGGCTGCCGCCTCTGCGACCGCGACTTCGGCCGCATCTGCCGGGCCCTGGCCGGGGCCACGTCCCTCGCGCAGCTCAACCTTAACCTGGGTGTCGTGTCCAGCCCCAGCCGCATCAAGCAGCTGGCGGAGGCGCTGCGGACCAACCGCTCCATCCAGTCCCTCTTGTGAGTGCACTCCCTCGCAAGTGGGTCCCGGGCACTACACCCCTTCTCGCACTCCCTGCCACCACCTCTTCCTCCACACACCTTCCTGTACCTCTTTCCGCCAGCCTTCCTCTTCCCTCACACACACCCCTCATTGCTCTGCCCATGCCTCCACAAAACCCTCCCAGCACATTCCTTCTCTCCCGACTTCGCACACGCAGCGCTACCCTAAAGGAGATGGGATACCCACCCCTTCCTGGTAGGGCAGGTGTACCTCCCACCTAATCACCGGCATTGTCTTCTGGGGGCAGTTTCTCAGTTCCCAAGAAGGAACACTTCCCTGAGGACTAGATCCCTGCCCCTATGTTCTGCCTACTGAAGAATCCTAATGCACCACCCGCTCCTTCTCTGTATTCTGTCCTGGGTCCCAGTCCCTGCTACAGAAAAGAAAGCAAATTCCCCTTCTACCTGTATTCCTTTAGAATCTAGAATTTTCTATCTCCCTTTCCAAGACCTTTCCTCAGTACTGTGACTGAGTGTCCTTATCATCCCTAGAGCTCACCCCTTTCTGCTACAGATAGGGCTGATGACTGGTAACCTCTGCTCTCTGGTCTCACCCCCTAGCCTGCATGGGAGCCCCCTGACAGATGCCGGGCTGGCCTTGCTGAACCCAGCCCTGGCCCTCCACCCTGCCCTTGTGGCTCTGGACCTGGGGGACTGCATGCTGGGTGATGAAGCCATCAACCTCATCTGTGGCCTCCTCCCCCCAGATGGGGCCAAGTCTGGTGAGCAGGGCCCTCCTAAGGGCAGGGGCTGGTGTAGCCGTGATGAAAAACTAAATGCAGGGGCAGGGTCTCTTGGCCCAGAGCTGAGGGCTCTGACAGTGTGGATGAGAATGGTTTTTAAATCCCCTCGGGAAGGAGAAGGATTAGGGGCCGAGCAGGAGCAGGATGGAGAATCTGGAATCCAGTTCTGGTGGTCAGTGAAGGCAGGGTCCCTAAGGGCATTGGGGTTCTGTGGTGGGGGTTGGGGTGCTCCTAGCCACTAGGGACACCCCAGAAACCCAGGGCAGGGTAGAAGCTTAAGAGGGCCTAACCTTCTCCATCCTGGCTTCTCCTTATGATGTTGCCCAGGTTTGAAGGAGCTAACGCTGAGTGCTAACCCCGGCATCACCCCTAAGGGCTGGAGTCGCCTCGCCATTGCTGTGGCCCACAGCTCCCAGGTCCGCGTCCTCAATTTGGACTACAACCCCCTGGGTGAGGCTCAAGAAAACCCCCTCAGACTCTTACTACCCCATCCCCATTCAAGAATCTGGGACCATCAGCTGCCATGGTAACCCCACATTAGGGGAGGGAAGATAGAGGGGGGTCTGGAAAGTAATAGAGGAGCCACCTGTGTAGAGGACCAAATAGATGACCAAATAGATGATCACAGGTAGATCAAAGCATCCATCACCACCCCTGGGCCTGGCTTGCTTTATGCGTTCACTCACAAATCACAATGTTCCCCTCCTGGCCATCTACCAATTGTCAGCATTTCCTGGCCTGAGGGTGGGATCTAAGGTTGTCAGGGCAATGGGGAGGCTGTCAGGGAGGAAGGGTTAGCAGGCCTGTGCATGAACTCGGGTGAGTGTGTGTGTGTGTGAGTGTGTGCTGTCTCCCCAGGTGACCATGTGGCAGGGATGCTGGCTGTAGCTGTGGCTTCCAGTCGAACCTTAGAGGTTCTAGATTTGGAGAGCACAGGGCTCACCAACCAGTCAGCTCAGGTGAGACGTCTTCATGTTTGGGAAAGGCCAAGGGTTGCAATGGAAGTTAGTCAGGGTGTCTGTGGTCATACCCAAGGGGTGGCAGGTCGGAGCTGGGGAAGCCACATTAAAAACTTTGCTTATCCTTTTCCATACTCTTTTCTGCCCCAGACCCTGCTGGATATGGTAGAAAATTACCCCACAGCTTTGCGGAGCCTGGTGTTGGCTGAGAACAGCATTAGCCCAGAGCTGCAGCAACAGATCTGTGACCTCCTTTCTGAGGGAGAGGAGGAGGAGGAGGTGGCAGGAGGGTCTGGTGACACCCAGGAACGAGAGAGGGGGCGGGAGCCTGCTGCCCACCAGAGGGGAAGCAGTTCCTGGATGTGCCCTAGTGGTAAGAGTCCTGTGGGTTAATTGGAACCAGGCCTGATGAGGCTTGGGACCTGGGAGGATGGGTGTGGGAAACCTAGGCCACTGTTTTCCCTACCTGTGGTCCCCACTGGAGGAACAAATGGTCGTCTGAACACCCCTCTGCCCTTCCACAGATCCCAGCTCTCAGATGGTGCTAATGACGTCAGGACTAGGGGACAGTCTGTTGGCTGAGACCGAGATGTGACTCTCCACTTGGGCTTCTGCACATCATTACATTTGTCTCTGTCCCGAGCACTTTGCCCCAAATACCAGGGTCGGGCCCTAAGGCTTGGGAGGGAGGGGGTGGCCTGGAGCTCTGGCAGCTCACGGCAGTGGGGTGGGAGGCTCTGGAAGCTGTGAATCGCCTTGAACCCAAGGCACTGGCTCTGGACTTGTTGGCAGCTCTGGCTGCAGCCCGCTGGCTCGGAAGAGATTTTATCAACTCTGCAACCTGGCGTGTGGCTGTGGTCACTGGGGGCTGGCAGTAGGGGAGGAATTGGAACTGCTAAGCACCACTAGGGGGCAGTGCCACTCCACAGCCAAAGTGTCCTCTGACCACCCCCCCCCCCCCCCCCCCCCCAAATGTCTCAAAGTCTCAGGCCTAGGACTTCCAGAACCTAGGGTTCTGAGGTGACACCTTACACAGGCTCTATAAAGATACAACTAAGGTAAAGAGCTTATCTCCAGAGCTGGTTTGGACTGGACCCTACATCCAAGGAGACTAGGGGTCTCATCGTTTTTTTAAGGTGCAGCCTCTCCCAACTGCCTGATGCTCTTGGGCCCAGGGAAGGCCGAGGCAGAGTTGGGGCAAGGAAGGATCACTAGAAAAGAGTAGGACATCACAGGAACCGGGAATACTCAAGAATTGGGTAAAGGATAATCATTTAATAGACAAATTAGTCCATACCAGTAAAATAGTTTAATTTTAAAATAGTCATCAATGTGAAAATTTCCCAAAGCTGGGAGTAACAGTCTAGAGCCAAGGCTGGGAGGGGGCCAGGCCTCACCTGGAGCCCATCTTGAGGCCCCAGAGTCCCACCCCATACTCCCTTGCAGAGAGGAAGAAACAGCTGAAGAGAGCCCTGAGTCAGCCCTCTCCCTCTCCCTGGAGGGCCCACCGTGCCAGGCCCCCTGAAGGCAACCGCTTGTGCAGAGGGTTTGGGGAGAGAGGGAGACAGACAGAAAATAGAGAGGTTAATAGAAAACAGAAAACAGAGGTTAATAATCCCACAGACATCCCCTCCACCCTAAAAAAACCCCTCATGGCTATGAACGGATGATGGAGGACGAACACTGATGTGATAAAACCCTTCTGCTGCCCAGAACAGCCTAATTTGGGCTGGACCAATTTGAAGAAAGGTCTTGAACTCAGCTGCATGTTACCTTTGGAGAATAAATATTTCAAAAAGGGGGTAAACCATGAGGGAAGCTGCTGCCAGTCAGTCAACGCAGCTGAAAGGCCTGGTGTGGCCCACGGCCTGACCCTACCGCACAGGGAACAGGGCTGTGCAGGTCTAGAGGGAGGAAAGTTCAAGGGCTCGGGCTGGGTGGAGGGCCCTGAGCTGCAAGGGTACGGGTGTCCTTGCAGTCCCAGTGCAGCGCTGGCAGGAAGGCAAGCAGGGGTCCTAGTCGAGCAGGTTGCCCTGCTCCTGGGCCTGGGTCAGGCTGTCCTTGCGGTGCAGGTGATGAACCCCCATCCTCTTGGGGCTGCGCTGGGGGCGGCTGGAGCTGGGGAGTGCCCAGGTCCTGCCCTCAGTGTGGGATGTGCCAGGCCCTTTTTCTGTGCTACTATCAGTGGGCAGCAGGCTCTGTTGTTCTTCCTCGGGACTGACCGGCAGATTCAGCTCTTCCTCTTCCTCCTCCCTGGGCAGGCAAGTGTCAGGTTCCGTTGGCAGCAAAAGCCCACTCTCACAGGGTGGGGAAGAAGGTGCCTGAACCACCTCATCTCTGTCAGCGGAGTTAAGAGCAAAATGGCGCTGCAGCTCAGGCAGTGCATCGTGTCCAAAGGCTGTGCGCTGGGCCGCAGTGGCCGGTGGTGGAATGCGGTCCACAAATGCCCGCTGCCAGCTGGCCAGCAGGTCCTCTTCAGAGCTGGCGGAGCTGACAGGAGCGCTGAGTGCTGGGGGAGCAGGGCTGGGCTGGTGGTGCGGTGAGGCTTGGGCTGAGGCAGGGCTGCTGGGCATGGGGCCGGGCCGAGCTCGCTCACTCCCCTCCTCCACCAGGCTCAGGGAAATGGCCTGGCGGGTAGCGTAAGTGCAGTTGGGCAGGGGGCTATTGCGGGGGATTCGCACTTTATCCTCAGAGAACTCTATTACTTTTCGGCCAGGATACAGAGGGTTTGGTGGAGACGGGGTCGGGTAGGGGCTCAGCTTCTCAAAGGCCTGCAAAGGCAAGTCCTCCTCTGGGGAGCCCCCAGCAGTGCTCAGAGAGTGGCACTCCCCATTGGGTTGGGGGATGGGGCTGCCAGGGACAGGGAGGCTGGCTGGGTCACCTGGGGCACCCCCACTCATGTCTACGTGCACAAAGACATCCTCAGCCAAGGGGCGCCCTGCACTGCCTGACTGGGCCGAATTGAGCAGTAGAGACTCTGGCTTCTCCAACACCCGGGCAATGACCGAGGTGGGTACCACAGCCCCTGGTGCCAGGCTGTGGGCAGGGCCTGGGCTGGCAGCCTCCTGATCACTGTGCAGATGTTTCCGGACCATATCCTGTAGCTCGCAGGGCAGCTAGGGTAAAAGAGCAGAAAGGAAGAGAGACATGAATGGTCCCAACCTAAGACTGGCTGACTTATGGCAAAAGTCATGGTACCACGTACGAGTATGAGTACCACTGTGTGCTCGGCACTGTTATGTTTTGTGCTTGCGGCATGCCAGGGTATATCCTCATTTCACAGACAAACTGAGGCTCAGTAGGGGTAAAATAACTTGAAGCTTTTTATTAACACTGCCAAGATCTGAGCCCAGAATTGGTGCTAAGGCCCATACGTGCTCAAACTTCTATGTGCCCCATCTTAGCAGTAGCTTCTGCCCAAACCAGACATAAGTTGGAGGATCTGTAATGACTGGCGGCCTTGACCTTCAGTCCTTCCATAGGCCTCATCCGTGGGCCTGAGGATCCTGGGGCTAGAGTCTGCCCCTTGGGGTTGGGGGTCAGTTGAGCCTAATCCTCTCTCGATATTCTTATGGCTGACAGCTCTGGCCACTCCCTCCTTCCTGCATGGGATCCTGGAGTCCCTCTCTCCCTGTCTCTGTTCCAAATATACCAACAGGGCCAGCCCCCAGCCATAGTGATAGGCCCTGGACAGCACAGAGGACACCAGCCAGTGACAGAGTTGACTGACTTGAGAGGAGACATGGAGGCTAGGGGGATGGGGAGAGGTGTAGAAACTGGAGTTAGAGGAGTCCCCAAAAGGTTGGACTGGTATTGTTGGGGCGGGTATTGTACTCACATCAGCAAACTTGTGGTGACGGAAGTGGGATTTGTTGCACTTGAGGAGCTGCACGGCCAGGTTGCAGTCCAGCCGGTACCGTTCCTGCGGATACAGATGTGGTTCAGTGTCCAGCCCTGCCCGAGGGAGCAGGGCTGGGCCAGGACAGAGCCAGCCCCAGGCGAGGACGGCCCCAGAGGTGCACATACATTGAGCTCCTCCAGCTTATTGATGGTGTTCTTGGCATCCAGCAGCTTGTTGGTCAGCTCTACAATCTCCCAGTCCAGTGTCTTCCTATCCATCTCAGCCTTCTTGATCTGAGGCACAAGGCTTGGGATGAACCAGGTCCACACCCTAGCTAGCCCTTCCACCCCCTCCCAGCCTGGAGACACAGGAAGCCACAGGTGCTAGGGCAGCCAAGGCGAACGGAACAGAGACAAAGAACAGACAGAAGGAGACAAAACACCTCTCCTGTTCTCCAGGCTGACTGCGAGGTGGGGGCTTTCTGAGCAGGGCTGCTGCCACCTGGGCCCAGCGGTAGAACAGGCAGTGTAAGAGCTGCCCATCCGCTGAGGGAGCCCTACATACCGGGCAAGGCAGCTGGTACCCGAGAGGCGATAACCACAAACCCAGGCACTGAAGCCTATGTACGGAGCTGCTTCCAGGACCAGGTTAGGAAGAGGGAGGAAGGAGTAGGCCGGGTGGCAGCTGGGGGAGCCGGTGAAATTACCTAGTTGAGCTGGGAGGGAGCTGCAGGCCCAAAAGCAGCCTTCTGATCTTCAGCTCACAGACCGGATCTACAGCCCTCCTCCCCCCAGTGGCTTCAGCTTGCTGCCACTGCAGCCGAGAAGCTGTGAGTGTTCAGCGGTGACATCAATCAGTACCTCTGCCTGGGCCAAGAGCAGGCTCCCAGCTGTCCCCCAGGAAGGAGGCACTGACGACTGAATGGGCCTCACATAAGGAAGAGGAAAGGAATGGGCAGAGGGAAATGATCAGGGCCCCAGCTATCCCAGATCTCAACAGAGGAGGCGGCCAGGATAAGGGAGAAAACACACAAACTCAGACGCAACTGCAAAAATCCAGCTGTGGCTAAGAGAGGCCTGAGAGGAGAGTGCGGCAGCAACGGTGGCAGCATGAGGGGGAGACGTGGAGAGAAGAGAAACAGTGTGAGCATTAAGACAGTACCAACTTGCACAGCACACTGTGGTCCCCTCCCCACCACTGGCCACTCTCCCCTCCCCAAGCCCCAGGGCAGAATGGCATTCCCTTGGCAAGTCCTAGCCCCCTGCTATGCTTTGAGCACAGTGCCAGCCAAACTGCCCTCCTGGACAGATTACCAGCGTGTGCAGCTTGTCCTCCAGCTCCTGGTTGGTCCTCTGGGAAGCTGTGTAGCTGTTCTGCAGCCTGCAAAGGAATACAAGGTGGGCCTTTGGGTCTTGATCCTGTTCTTCAAACCCTGTTCAGCATCTCCTTTATAATGGATCTTGAGCAAGTCATTCTCCTCCCAGAACTTCTGTTTTCTCGCCAGAATCAGATGATCTCTGAGGCCTCTTCCAGCTAACCCCAGGGAATGGGAAGATGCATGCATGTGTGTCCTAGCCCCTCATGCCCATACCTGCGGAACTTGTCCTTAAATTTGTCCAGCTCCTCCCGGCTCTGGCCCAGCTCCAGCTCCAGGCAGTCCTGTCCGATTTCCAGCTCGCGCTCCAGGGCCTCAGTGCGCCTGGTAGCCAAGGCAAGGCGCCTCCGAAGCTCCTCATTCTCCTGCTGCAACAGCCTGGCAGGGTGAGGGGTCAAGGGCAGAGGGGCATCAGAGATAGAAGGACCATCCCTGGAGCCCCAGGCTGGTCAGGAAGGAAGGAGTAGGAATGACATGAAGACAGACAACTGGGGGCAGGGGACTCCTTTAGATTCGGTCAGAGTATGAGGCAGCAGATTCCATAGGCCTGCTGGCCCTGAGAACACAGCCTGGCTGGGGGGTCGGGGAGGCAGAGGGGACAGTAGATGATAGTTTAACCCCCCACTCATTAGAGAAGAATAAGAAGACAGTATTCCCAGTCTGTCTCTGGTTACAGCCAAGCCAGCCGTCCACCAAGCCCCCAGCAGCTCCAGTTTCCCCACAGTACAATCAGGCTGCTCCATTATTAATCTCCTGGAAATCCAGCCCAGCACTGCCCTCCTCTCCAGAGGCCTCACGTGGCTGACGGAGAGGGCTCCAGAGAGGCAGCTGGCACAGGAGGGCCTGGAGCTGGGGAAGGGCTCGCTGCCAAGAACAGGCCCTCAGAGCCATCTCCTCCTTGATTTCAAGTTCTTTTGGAGCCCATGGAACAAACCTCTTTTTCCAGAAGGAATATCCACAGCAAGCCTCCTCCCAGGGTCCCTAAAACGCCCTCTCCCCACCCCAACATTTACCTCTACCTAATCCAAGGAAAAGCCCACCTATCCCAATAGCCTTTCCCGGAGCTAAGAGGGACAGAGTTGAGGCAGGGCAGGCTCTCAGGCAGCAGATACTCACTTCATCCTCTCTGCATCAGTCAGGGACTCCTGCACACAAAAGAACAGAAGTTTGAGGCTCAGCTCCAGACCACTGGCCTCCTGCTGGCCCACCCTCCAAGAAGCCCTATAAAGGAACATTTCTGAAGCCCAAAGACTCTCACAGCAGAACCAGGCTGAGTAAGTGCCCTGCAGAGATGGAGGCAATCCAGCAATGCCCAAACAAGCCTAGATCACTCTCTCTCATGCCAACTAGAAGATTCAGGAACCCCTTCCAACCCTCACCCTTATATATATATCAGCTCCAATCCCTCTCTTAGGCCCAGAGCCAGTTGCACATAAATCCTGGTACCCCTGCTACCTCTCCTAGGGATAGAGAGCCTCTCAGCTGTTCACTGGGATGCTCTGAGCCTTGCAGGCACGGCAGAGACCTGCCAGAGAAAAAATCCGGCTGAAATATAGCAGGGTTCTGAGCTCTGATAATCAGGCAGAATTGGGACCTTACAGAGGCTTGGGAGGAACAAGCGCACGGGTAAAGGAGAACTGCCGGGCTAATTCCAACTGAGGGGTGAAGTGTCTTGTCTTGCTTTTCACCTCCCACCCCATCCTCCTGAAACCGCTTCGTTGCTCATGGCCCAAGAGCCAGGGCTCAGCCAGACACAAAGCAGAGCAGGCATGTGCCAGAAAGAGGGAAATGCTGACAGGCCCACTTCAGATTGAATTGACTGCTCCAAATGCCAGTCAGGGTCAGAAAATGAGGTGGGTGGCCCACACCAGGGACTTTGGAGCCACTAATACATGGATCTGATCCTTTTCTATCACACACTGGTTATATTAACCTTACTGAGCCTTAGGGTCTTCATCTACAAAACCAGGAGAAGGCCCCTTGGATGGCACCTAGCATAATACCTGGCCTTTTCATTTACTGTTCTCTGAGCTGAAATGGGTAAATCATGGCATCTGTGCCCTGAATTTGACCAAAGTGGCCATGGTGTGCCTGTTGCTCAGCATCTGCTGACAATCTCTCAGGTTCTATAAGTGTGCTCCATGTACTACAATAGGATAGAAACCTGGTAGCAAGGAGAATAAGTCACTGCAGCATTTCTGTCCTCCTGTTAGTAAGCCTAATGTGGGAGGAGAACTGATGTATTTAACAAATGCTAACCAAACAAAGCAAAGCTGGAGGAAGGGCCGGACTTCTGGGGACAGTGAGGAACAGCTGGTCTGGTGGAAGAAGCCAGAGCACCGCCTCCCAGCAACTCCCAGAGGGGCTGCAGGTTGAATGGCTCTCCTCCACTAGGGGAGGCCCAGAGGCCCAGCCTCCAGCAGGTAAGGACTCCTCAGTCTGGTGGGTTGCTTCTTGCAGGAAGAACAATACTGCAGGCGTGGGGTCATTTCCACTAAGCTACCAAGACTCTAGGACCCCCAGACATGGGAATACGTGCTCATGGACACCCCTATGAGCCTAACAGCTCCCACCAGCAATACCTTACTCTCACCCCAACTTTGGGGGCCAGAAGTCCCCTCATGTGAGAGAAGTCAGCCAGACACCCAGCCTCAGGGGCCTGCCTCTGCCAGCCAGGGTGGGGCTACCGGCCTTGCTAACCTCCTGCTCCAGCTGGGATCCAGGAACTTCCAGGCGCAACTCCCGATGCTCAGGCGGTGCCTTACGGTAGGGTTTCTTAGCAGGGGCTGCACTGGTCATTCTGGAAGGTGAGGGCTCCGTGACCTGCTGAGGGAAAGCAAGGAAGGAGGAGCCTCAGAAACAAGGACAGGAGGCCTCTGGACTAAAGGAAAAGGATGGTAAAAGGGGACACATACAGGAGCCACTAGGCAGGCAGACAGGCTTGGGCATTGCTGGGGCCACTACAAGGGTGGATTCTGGTGTGTTGGTTCCTATGGAGTCAGGAGAGCGCTGGGGCAGGGGGGCATGGGTCCAATGGAAACGGAGGGTGGGAACGGCAGGACACAGGGCCTGGGCACCAGGAGGAGGGCACTGGGCCCAAGAGGGCAGAGTCTGAAGGCAGCCCTCATTCAGAAGAAAGCCCCAAAGGGAACACTCTCTATGCATCAGCTTCCTCCACTCCAAATTGGGGTGAGAACAGCACCCATTTCATCGGGTCGTTGTGACATTATGTAAGGCACTAAGAACAGTACCTGGCACTTAGAAAATGGTCAATAAACGTTAGCTTTAAAAAATAACTGTAACCAGAAAGTAAGGGTTTGAGGATATTCAACCAACCTATGCTCCTTGGTGAGGGTCTTTGAGCTTGAACGCGCTAAAGGCCAAGCCCCACTGGCCTCACCACTCTTCTTTCACCAACCGCTGGCCAGGAGGGGCCGCCTGCCTGCCCCCTCACCTGCCGGCCTCCCAAGAAGAGAGCCACACGGGGAGCGCAGGCCTCACAGGGACGTACCGTCTGTCTGTCGGCAGCTCGCTCTGTTCCACTGTCCGGGAGTTAGCCCTCGGCTCTCTGCATCCCCCGGCCCCGCCACGTCCTCCTCTAGCCAACAGCTTCTGAAACTGGAGAAGGGAAGAAAGTGGAAACCAGGTGTCAGCCGCCTGTCAGTGCCACAGGCCACCCTGCCCAGTGTGGGACCTGGAAGGCCCCCCAGGGAGAGTCAGGCAGGAGAGCCACGGACGGGGCGCTACAGGGGAAGAAGTGGAGGTGGGGACGGCTGGAAGCACTTACCGTTTCCATGAGCACTGTCACAAGTGTGTCTGTGTGTGTGTTCATGGTCTCAGCGTGCCCACATGCCCAATTTTGAAATACGTCTGGTCCTGTCCTGATCCTACCCCACATCTGTCCTGTTCATCTCCCAGGCCTCTCGGAGTCTAGAAACAACTAAGAGGTTTGGAGAACATGGGTGGCAGAAGAGAATACCAGGAAAAAGCCTAGTAGAGATGTAAGGAGATGCTGGAAAGAAAGCTCTTGCAATGCTTCCAGAAGGAGCCCACAGATTACCTCTGTGTTCAATGGTGGTAAACAGACTCTGCGATGCGGAGGGCTAGCTGGCTACAGCAGAGAAAATCTAAAAAGGCAGCAGTTTAGGGCAATTACAGTTCTCAAACGGGGTGATGTTTATCCCCCTCTGACCATTCTCAGATATCTGGCAAATGTCTGAAGACATTTCTGGTTATCACAACAGAAGTGGGTGCTCCTGGCATCTAATGGGTGGAGGCCAGGGCTGCTAATGGGTGGAGGCCAGGGCTGCTGCTACACATCCTGTAATGCACAGGGCAGTCCCCACAACAAAGAAGTATCAGCACACAATGCTGACCGCGGCAAGGCTGAGAAACCCTGGTATAGAAAACCCAAGTCTGGGGAGCTGAGACACCTAGGCTCCAGGCTCAGTGGTGCTTTTGACACACTGTGTGGCCCTTCCTCGCTGGATAAGCCTGTGTGTCATCTGCACGAGGTGGCTGCACTGACTGACCCCCTCCAGGTTCTTGGGGTTCCTAGCTCTGCCCCGACCTGTAATAAGCTGGGCTACAGCAGGGGGGCAGCAGCCACCACAGGGACCAGCAGAGGCAGTAACCTCAGGCGGCCTTCTGGGCATACACAATCTTCCTGCTGCCATCCACCTAAAGAGAGCTGGGAGCTGAGGGAAGCCTTACGGGCTAAAGCGTGTGTTCCTGCTGTTGGGACATGCCCTGGCCATGACTCCTGTCACATTCCAACAGGGCCTGAGGCAGGAGGAATGGGGAGGGGGTAGAGAGCGCGGGGAAGCAGGAGTGGCCTCCCTCCTCTGAACAGTCTGGGCTCTGGCTTGCGATTCTAGGGGAGCCGGGGTGTGACAGTAGGCACGAGCCGCCAACCTCCACCCCTGCGATGGTGTGGCAGAACGTGTCCCCACAGGGCACAAGCAGCATGCTGGGTTGGGCTGACTCCCTGTGCAGGAATCCGGGCGGGCCTGAAGGGACAGTACATTCCTGGGGTGTGGGAGCAAACAAGTCTCCCCCACAGGTTCCCCGGGGCCACCCCTCCAGGTAACCCCAGGGTGAGACTTCCTAAGGTCTCGGGGAGAGGCCCAGAAAGCCCAAACCGGCCTGTGTACCTGGGTTGTGATACTCAGAGGGTGTAAATGGGGTGTGTATATAAGTTGGAAGAGGGGCAGAGCCAGAGGCAAAGGAGTAAGCGTTTCAGGTGGCCAGAGATTCTGCAAAACCCAGGGGAGGCTCTTGTGCCGGCCTCTGCCTGCTCCCCTTCTCTGTGGAGAGTCCAGGCCACTGCTCCCCATCTCACCCTGTCAGCTGAGTGGCCCCTTTCTCCCTGCAGGCCCCTTTGTGAACCCTCCTCCATTCTCAGCTGCTGCTTTTCTTCCCTACCCTATTCCTGCTGATGCCCGCACTGTCCTCTAGGCACCACGACATGTTTATGGGCAGTGGGTGGACAGGGAGGACACTGACCGCTCAGGTATCTGGTTTTTCTACCTGTAAGGACAGTGGCTTCACTCCACACCCTGCAGCCCTCCTTCTAATTGCCACATCCTCCAGCTCATCCTGCCTCACCCTGACCTCAAGTCCCCGCTCCCTGGCCAACAGCCCACAGCACGTATTCCCAGGGCTTCCACAGCCAGGCAGCCTGGCTGGCTGAGGGACAGTGTGGATGCAGGTGGCAGTGAGCGAGGGAGTAAATGCAGGCACAGACTCTCTGGGATGAATGGTGGGGAGATGGGGGGAGGGGTTCGCTCACCCAGCCAAAGCTTTCTCTTTCCACGCATGTCAGTCACAGTGAGGGGAGCCACTCCTAACTGAGGAAGCGCAGGCAATGCCCGCTAGGGAGACAGTCCACAGGAAGCGTGCAGTGTCGCCAACACAAGTCCGCGGGAGACTGTGCCACTCCCCGCCCTATGTCCATAAATACCAGTGCATGTCGGGCCCTTGCTCCAACTCCTGAGATCTGCTAAGTGTCCCAGAGCAGCCTGCCGGGGCCCACTATTCCAGCACTGAGCGGGACCAAAGAGCCCGGCAAGCCACTGTCCCTGACCAGAAGCACTACAGGGAAGGACAGGCTGGGGTAAGAGCAATGCCAGGTGGAGTACAAAACGAGCAGCAGCTGGACCCCAGGCCCACAGGCAGGGAGAAGATGACAGGCGCACTGAAAGGCAGCCGAGCAGACCCTCCAGGAAGCCCAGCTACCAGGTAGGGCCTCCACTGGCCGTATGTCCTCCACCCAGAGGCTGCCGGGTGGCCTCGTAGTGTTTCAGCCCAAGGAGGACTCCAACCTTGCGTGGAGAGAACTCCAGGGGAAGCAGCTTGGGTGCTCAGAATGGGCCACGAGCCACAAGCCGCCTCTGGGGCCTCTCGGTGCCCACCTTCAGGCCGCCTCCAAGAAAATGGTCCTCTGGAAGGTCTAGAAATTGACAGGGAAAAATCCCACTCCTAAACTACCCGAGCTTCAAGAAATTGGGGGCAGATGACTAAGGATGTGAAGCTACCAGATCATGTGCTGGGTTTGCCCTACAAGTACAGCTGTGCCCTGGGAGAGAGGCCGAGGCCTAGGGGAAAAACCTCTGGCTGACCCAGCCTGGCCTGAGGCTCCTTGGCCTGGACCTGCAGGCACTGTTGAGGAGGACACCCAGAGCAGCAGGAAACCCTCCCCATCTCAGGGAGGTGAGGTGCGAAGAAAAGGCAGCTCTCCTCACCCCTTACTGCCCCCTCCAACCCCGCCCCCTCCTTCCTCTTCTGCATAGTACTCATTCTTCACTTATTCAAAATCAGTTTGGAGAAGAGACTCAACCCATATCTGCTGGGGTGGGGAATGGGGTGATTAGCTTCCTAATTGCCATGTTGCAATCTGCCAGTTGGTGCAGGCTGCCTGTTGCCGCCTGTCCTGTATTAAATACCTTCTCCCTGATTACAGCCCATGGGGCACGATTAGCTGCCTCCAGAGAACAAAGTCTGCTTTCATTAGAAGTGGGACTCGCACGCACAGTGAACCTGCACTGTGAACCTGAACAGCTGAGCGGAGAGTGTAGACAGAGACAGATATAAGGAAAAATATGTGCCAAAAGTAGGCTGAGCAATATCCTTGAATCAAAGGACAAAAAGTTTGCCAAGCATACCTGCTCCTTTCTGTGGATATGAAGTATGTGTTTGTGACCAAGGGTTTCCACTGTGGTCAGGGATCACCGCTGCCAGACATGGAGTAAGATAAGGAGAAAACTCTTCAGAGTCCTTATTCTCTTTAAACCGCTATCCTTACTCCTCCTCCCAGCAAAGACCCACATGAGGCAACAGCAAAAAGGTTTAAGCTCAAGAGCCAAGGACACCCTCACAGTTCCGTCTGCCATCTTTTCTGTGGGTTTGCTCAAGGCCCAGGGCAAAGTTAAAGGTGCAGGAGAGGAAGGGAGGTCCAAGCTTCCCTCTGAGGGTTCAGAGGCCACCTCCTCAACACTGGCCCAGCAGAGGGAGACTGGATTAAATCCAAAATGGGTGTGGTTCTTCGGCTTTTCAAACTTCTGCCTTCCCCCGTGAGACGTCTCCTCTAGCTTCCAAGTTCTGCTCTATGACTTCATTCCACAGCCCTGACCTAGAAAGCCGGGATGCCACCCCACTTGCCACATTACCCATGTTCTCTTTAGGAAATTATGGCACCAACAGTTTACCTGAGCTCAGGCCATTTCCGATCCTAACAATATGCCTTTCTGATCATAGTTGTCACCAAACCAGGCAAGTGGGGCACCTTCGGGGGTCAATGAACGCAATCTTCTCGATCATGAAGGGCCAGTAAGTTACCACCAAAGCCATTAGAGCGCTTCTTCATAATTCACTCAAGAAAACTCACACAGAGCCTGGCTGGTGTGGCTCAGTGGACTGGGTGCCGGCCTGCAAACCAAAGGGTTGCCAGTTTGATTCCCACTGGGAACGTACCTGGGTTGCAGGACACATCCCCATTAGGGGGCATATGAGAGGCAACCACACATTACTGTTTCTCTCCCTCTCTTTCTCCCTCCCTTCTCCTCTTTAAAAATAAATAAATAAAATCTTAAAAAAGAAAGAAAGAAAGAAAGAAAATTCAAACAAGTCAGCAATCACTACTGCTTTTAAAGTGAAAGGAAAACCAGCCCGTCTTCAGAATACCCCAGCTGTGCCGTTTGCTGCCTTAATTCTCTTGGAACCCAGCAAGATATAAATAAACAATAAAAATAAATATAGGCCCTTCCTTAAACCCCTAAGCAACTGCTAAAGCATGAATGTCTGATCGCACCGGGACTACTGCCTCCCCTGTGGGAGCTGTCCTCACCTACAAGCTACTGTTCTCAGCTTAAGTAGTCTCTGAACTCTGTAAGCCTGGAGGAAGCTGCACTGAAAGCCCCTGAAATCTGGGCTCTACCTCCAACCAAGGCCCAAAAGCACAAACTACCACCCTGCAAGGCCCAGCCCTGTAACCAGGCAACGTGGCAGGGACCCCCACTACCATTAACACAGCCCCTCCCCACCTGGGCTCTCACTGAACAGCAAAACAGCCCTCCAGCACAGTGAGTGGATCCTACCGGAGCTGTTGGGGCTCAGTCTTCCCACATCGACCCCCGGTGCCCCTCCCGCTTGCCATCAGCCCCCAGTTTCCGGCATGCAGCTGTTCCTGAGATACATGAGCAAAGCCCTCAGCAATCCTGGGCGCGTGGCAGGCAAGCAGCCAGCAGCTCACAGGGTGGGGCCTGGGCAGGCTCTGCTCTGGGCTGATGACTAGGCTGGAAGATGCCAGTCTGTGCCCAGACCAGCCCTGCTGCCCCTCCGACAGCCAAGCCTGCCACCCCTCTGGGCAAGTGCAACCTCACCCGCTTGGGACAAGCTGCCTGCAGCCCTGACTTGGCCTTTTGCCTGCTCTGAGAACAGATTGACAAGTTTTTAAAAGCCAACAGGGTGGGTATTTTTCTGCCACAGAGTAATCCTGAGGACTCAGAACCAGCACTGTTGACCTTGAGTGCTCACCTGGCTCCCCACCTGAGCAAATACTTCAAGTCTGTCACCTGACCTCATCCAAGCAAACACTAGACCGGAATAAGGGGGCTGAAGACTACTGATGAAGATCCAAGCAAACCAAACCTCCCCCCTCATAAAGGAAGGGCCAAAAAAATCCCCAAGATCATAACCAGCACTTGACCTTAGTCCCCATACCCTCCCCTAGCCTGGAAAAGCAAAGTGAGAGGCCCTGAACTAAGGCTCCACTCCAGCCTCCTTTGGCTTTCCTGGTCAGGGTCAAGCCACGAACCCTCCAGCTTGCTCACTCCCTACTCAGGGTCCCTAAACGTCTGAGTAGCATCTACCAGCCCTCATATTTATACATTCCCACCCCATGCTAGTACACAGCCCCCTGCCTTTTCCCTTCTGGCCCCATGGTACAGAACCATTTTAAGGGTCTGCAGGTCTCAAGCTTCCCTATCCAGACTACCCTGTACTGTACTGTCTCCAGAGGCTGGAGACAGACAGTCTGTCTGAAGAGTTACCTGTGCAGAACACCGAGAGGCTCCAAGCAATCAGCCTTCCTGTTATTTCCAGAGTCCCCTTCTCCTCTCCAAGCCTAGAGGGAGAAAGGAGTTTGGTGGGAGCTTCTCCATGGCAAGCCGTTCACCAGTCTCCTAATCTGAGGCCAGGGCCTCTCCTAGGCCCACTGTCGAATCCAAAGCAGGTCCTGTTTCCTTGGACTAAGGTGCCCCTCCCAGCTCTTCTTGGCTAAAGTCCACCTGAAGCTCCAGCCATGGAAAACAGTGGGGGACCAAACTCCACCCACTCTACCTCCCAGAGTAACAGTCCAATGGGTACTTGGTTCTGGTCTCCAGATTTCAGTTTAAGTAGCTTCACACTTCTGTCCAAGGAAATTCTCACAACCAGGCCAAGGTTTTCAACCTCCCCAAGCCCAAGGAGAACCTTGCAGCTAACTCTAAATTATTAACCTGGAGTGAGAATAATGGGGACACCATCCAATCTCCTCCTCTTGAAAAAGGGAAAAAAAAAATTCAGTCTAAAAGAAAATTCCCATCTGTCTCTGAGGCATGAAAGAGAAACAGAATGCTAACTGAGGGATATTTTTGAACTCCATGGTGCTAAAGGCATATTAAACAGAAACTACTCAAGTCTGTTTTAAGAAAGAATGGGAAGTCATGGTACAGACTGAGGGGGGGCCAAGTCCAGCAGCAGGATGGCCGATGCGCAGGTGGCCATGCCTAGGAAACCTCTTCTCCTGGCCATGAAGGGCGCACGTCTCCACCCAGAGCAAGGAGACGGGAAAGATGGAGGGAACCCAGTTATAAGGACCAGAGAGCAGAGGAGCTGGCATTAGGTAAGCTAGGAGGAGGAGGTAGCTAGGCTGTCGGGAGGGAGCGAGGACGGGGCACTGCTGGTGGCATTCTCAGGGTAGGTTAGCTGTCCCAGGTCAGACTCACAGGGTTAGTGTCTTCTCCCCAACCAGCCAGCTCTCCTGGTTAGCACGGTTAATGACAGATTCATGGCAGACACCCTCCAGGCACTCCATATAAACAGACAGCTTGCTTTGTGAGCAGTGCAACTCCCAACTCTGGAGCTGCAAAGAAAGAACAGAAGGAATGCCAGGCTGCAGGTGCCCAGGGCACACACCACACTGTCCTCACAGGAAGGGCTCCTTTGGACTTAGCACTAGACCCTCAGGGGCTTTCTCCCACCCAGAAATCATGCCAGGCAGAGGTGCAGCACTCCCCTGCCACCCAGTGAGTCCAGCTCACCCCACGTAACAAGGCTCTTTGGCTGCTCAACAGAGAGGTCACCTGTTGCAAAAAGGTCACTTCTTGGGGGTGGGCAGCTCCTATCTTGCCTGTTCCCCCAACACTGACGCAAGGCTACACCAGAGCCCTGAAAGCTCTGTTAAAGCTTTTTTCTTAAGAACAAAGCCACCCACAGCTGCAGCTGCTACCCATCCCATGCCTGTGCTAGAAGAGTCCACCCCACCACCTCCCACGGGCTCTGAGGAAAGGGACTGGGAGAGAACTTGCCCAGGGATCAAAACTGCAACAAGAGCTGCATGGAAAGCACAGTACAATGGGGCTGTGTATGACCCAGCCCAGCACTGGGCCAGTCAAGGGAAAGGGCAGAACACTGCCACCTTTCAGTTCTGAAAGGGCCAGGGTGATGGCTCTTCCCAGGGAGCTGGTCCCAAAGGATCCTACAGAGCAAGGATAAAGGCTATGCTACAGCCAGGCCTCCCCAGACTCCAACAGGGGCTAGTCTACCCTTTCAGAATGAGCAATGATCAGAAAGACAAGCATTCTTAACATAACAAGCCCAGAACCACCCAAAGGGAAGATGACATGCCTTGGCTTACAGATCTCAACACAAATGCAGCGACAGCAGTAGAGCCCAAGAGACCCCACAAGAAGGGGCCCCTGGAGCGGCAGGATAGGAAAACTTCAGCAAATAGATCAGCAAATACTGCCTGTGCTTAAAAGAGAAAGACACCATGTTGTTAGGGGAAAAAACAGGGAGGGATTCCCCCTTCTGTCCGGACAGCACTGCAGATGATGAGATGGCTTGGGACAGAAAGGGGAGAATAGTGGCCACCCTGGTCCACGTATGGGCCTGGCTCTGCTCCCAAGCCTAGGTTAATGATTAAAGCAGGCAGGAGAGCCTCCAGTAGGCTTCCAACTGCCTACTCACGGGGTTCCCCGTACTGCTGTGACAACTGCCCCAAAGCTCAAAAGGCAAAGGCCTGACCACGGAGGGTGAGATAACCATCTAGAAGAGAAAGAACGATTCCCGTGGGCTCTGACCTCTCCCTTGGACTGATAAGAAAGCACGGCCACGGACACACCAGCGTCAGAAGCCTCACCCACAAAATTATACTACTACTACTACTATTAATAATAATACACCAGCTGGGTCGGACTGCGTTGCTTTCAAAAGGTAGAGCAGCAAGTGACCTGGCTAATCCAAGGTTTCAGAAACCAGGGACTCTCTCTGCAATGAAACGGAGGTTGAGAAATCAGGCAATTTTACTCTCTTCCCAGCAAGAAATGACAGAGGACTGAAGGGGGAAACAGGCATAAGATGAAGTGTTGATGCCCACATGATGCCTATATCCACTCTGAATCCCACTCAGAGGCACTCCTGCGTACAATTTCAGCTCAGAACAAAAACAGTCCCTCAGAGGTAACCAGAGGGCTGCTGTGCCCAGAACCTGCAGGAAAGCCTCTGCATCCCATCCGACAAGCTAGCTACCCCAAAGAGAAACCCCAAGCTGGGAAGGAGGCTACAACCAGGCTTCTCATATGTTCCAACAGGGACTACTCAACCCTAAGTAACTTGATAGGTGAACAGAACAAATTGAAGAACAGTATGTGTTATTACTGAGTTTTGTTTATTTTATAAGTAATACCTTATTAGGACTGTCCAGAAGTACAAAAAAAAAGATTAGAAGGATACGTGATAAATGGGTAACTGTTGTTAAAACTAGTTCCTTGTCTACGGGGAATAGGTTTAGAAAGGGGCAATGGGGAGGTCTTTTTACTTTTTATTTTGTTCATTTTTCTGTATGGTTGGTATTTTATACAAGGACATATGTTTATGATAAAAACATACAACTGCTAGACAGACAGACAAAAGCCCTCTATCCGCACCGCACTTTGCCATTCTGGAACAGCGCTCCTTTCCACTACGTGTCCTTTGATCCTTGTAGCCTAATGAGGCCCACAGAACAAGCGGAGTTCTCCCATTCTGAAGTGACAGAGAGGGTAAGTGACTTGCCTAAAACCACAGACTGGGACAGAATGCTGTGTTTCCAATTCCAGTGCAAAGGATAGAGAGCTGTTATCCCTAGGGAGCAACAGAAAAGCCGTGACAATTCTGTCATGTCCTTTACAGATTCCAAATGTCACTGAGAGCAGACAGTTGACACTTTTGAGACAGCAACTAACAAAGAGGTCCCACTCTTCTACTCATGGCCAGTCCAGAAGACTCACTTTGAAGGCTAAAAGTATACAACACGACCTAGTCCAGGTGGCTTGCCCAAATGACTCGCAAATCTGCTTAACATACAATGTAGTTTATCACTCCTGCTAAGATGTGATCATCGAAGATGTGTAACATTGCAATGTGCACTCCCAAACTGAGACTCCACTTTTAGCTACTGGTTTCATCCTTTTGACTATCTAGGCACTATGAGGTTGTAGCAAGACCTGGGTGTGATCTTGGAACACACCTAGCTAGGACTAGTGCTACAACCAGAAAAGCAAGGATAATAACGAAGAGGATGCCAGCAGCCAGACTTGAAGATGCTAATTCAGCAAGAAAATACACTGGTGTGACCCTAACTGATGTGGCTCAGTTGGATGGAACATCATCCCGTAAACTGAAGAGTCACAGGTTCAATTTCAGGTCAGGGCAGAGGTTGCAGGTTCAGTCCCCAGTCGAGGCACACAGGAGAGATAACCAATCAATGTTTCTCTCTCACAGTGACGTTTCTCTCCCTCTCTCCCCCCACCTCCCTTCCTCTCTCTCTAAAATCAGTAAGTCCTCAAGTGAGGATTAAAAAACAGAAAACAAACTGGTGTGTTTCACCTCCTCTTTTAACCCTGTCCTGCTGCCTTACGGATGAAATACGAAGGCTGAAAAGGGTGAAGGCTGAAGCCAAGCAACTGGAAGGTCATTTAATCACATTAACTCAACCTTGAAAAAGTTAGTAATGCTATTGTTAACACTGTCACTTTTTGTTTATGCAGGGCTTTTCTTCCTAAGTAAATCAAAATGTTGTGCCAGATAAATCCTATTTGCTTTAGTCTCCCTAAGGACTGGGTAGAGTCACACTGTAACCAGGACAGTTCAGCACCTACTACCGTATTTTTCTGTGTATAATGCACTCCCATGTATAGTGCACACCAATGTTTTTGGCCCAAACTTTTAGGGAAAAAAATCTTTCATTTTAATTAATTCAATTATTTACTTCTTTATATTTAGATACCTGTCTTTCTATATTATAAAGGAATTTCAGCATTTATTTTTTTAACATACTATGGTACAAGAAATTTTACGTAACAAATAACAAAACACAAGAACAGATACAAGATATTTCAGGTACTACCTGTATTTAAAGCACATCTTTATTTTTTCAATGCACATTATTTTTCCCTCAAAAATTTGGACAAGTAAGTACACATCATATATGTCAAAATATGGTACGTAGGGCCTAAATGCCTTCAGTAAAAGAACGTGGCCCTAAAAAGCTTCAGAGATAGGAGACCTTGCCCCTAATGGGGGAGAGACGAGTTAAGAACCACTGGCATTAGAGTGTGGTCAGTGCTTTGAGGGCTAGGAGGAGAGATGCCTGGCTGGGGCAGGGGTTCAAGGACCAGACAAGAAGGCTGCCCTCCTGAGAAGGTCTTTTTTTTTTTTTTTTAACAAAATCCTTTATTACAAAATCATAAGCATGTAATTCTGTAACATAACAATATTACACTCAGCCACATCATATATTTTAGGTGAAATGTTCAAATTAAAACTATAAATTATCACAGCTATATTATTACTCTATGGACCATACTCAAGCAGGCATTACTT